GGGGGTAGATTTAGACTAGACAGAAGGAAGAAATGTTTTACGCTGAGGGTGGTGAAACACTGGCACAGGTTGCCCAGAGAGGTGGTGGATGCCCCGTCCCTGGAAACATTCCAGGTCAGGTTGGACGGGGCTCTGAGCAACCTGCTCTAGTTGAAGATGTCCCTGCCCACGGCAGGGGGGTTGGACTAGATGACCTTTAGAGGCCCCTTCCAATCCAAACTATTCTATGATTCTATTAAACCATTACCGTATTAGGTGGCCTGCAAGAAACAGCACTGAATTACTCTGAAGTCATAAATAAGCCAAACCACACGCTACGCAGCAGGTATTCTGCTGTCGGTCTCATCAGGCAAACAAAGGTGAAGTCTTTGGGCTCTCCCCTGTTAGTGGGCTAGTGGCCTTGGTAAGCTTGGTAAGGTTTCTTTCTAACCACATCTCATCCATCCTTCACAGCCTCCATCCATCACAACCTGCTACCCCTCTCCTTTAGTCCTGTATGCCCTTTTTTTCTCCTCCTCCTCTTTCAAAATCACTTTTTCAATGATTATGTCAAATTGTTTTTTACTTCTGCTATTGTGTAATAAAGAGAACAATTACTTCAAACAAGTTTGCATAATGTCTGTTGACTGTCATCTTGCCTATGTGCTTCATTATTTTATTCTTTTGTTTTGTCTATTTGGACCACAGTCAGTTTGCGGAAGAGGATAAGGACTGCTTACATTACCTTGTGTAATGCCTGAACACCAGAGTTTTCACCCTGGTGCCCAGAGGACTTAAACTCCTTTAGCAAAATATCGCAAAAGGGGATAAGAATCTTGGCTGTGGTGGAGCTCAGTAACAAAACACTATGCCATGAGGGGGAAGGGAAAAAAAACCCCCACAATTAAGCTACAGAGTATTAGAGTTGTATAATATTTACTCCATTATCTATTGCATTACCAGTTATGCACAGTTTTCAACAAACAATTGTTGAAAATCCAAAGTATTGATCTCCAAACACAAAAATCAAATACTGTTCCCCCCCCCCCCCCCAATAATAAAGCAGAGCTGGCAGAATATTAAATAAATAGGACCCTCTGTGAGCACTAATACTTTCAATCTACCATCAAAATGGGTAGGCATACGTTGCACTCAGAGGATTCCTTACCTTTCTCAGCTTTTTGGATTTACATGCACGAGTGATGAAGTATAGATGTCAAGATCAAAACCAACAAGAGACCACCTTACACAAACCATTTGTTCAGAGCAGATTGAATTTCTGGTGTAAAGAATCAGAAAGTTTAACAGAAACACTGGTGGAGTAAAAGCCGTAATTGTCCAGCGCCTGATTAAGGACTCTTGAGAAGATGTCCTCTTTCCAGCATACTTATGTGAACAATACAGTTGTATATATGCCAACACTTTTAATGTCATTAAAAAGACTGCAATAGGTTTTGGACAAATTACTTCAAGCACCAGTGACAAGGCGGCCTTACAGGCCTGATTACAGCACAAAGGAAGGGCAGGAGTTTCTCATGAAAGCCAAAACACGGCTGCTCAGTTTCAAGATCCTAGGAAAAGAGTCCACTAGTAAAGTTTGCAAGTTAATCGTTTCAAATTAGTATAATTTCAATTTTTCCCTTGAAATGTATTTTAACCTTCTTATTCTGGTCTTCTTGAGGTGAAAAAGAATGTTTTCTTTAGGGCAAAGTGCAAAATATCCACTGCCAAGTCACTCTGGTGAGCCACCATGCCCGTGGAGCCGGCCTGCAGGGCCTGGCAGGTTGCTGGGTAGAGGGTCCCCAACGGAGGAACCACTGAAGGGACTGTCCTCCTGACAGAAATTCTTCCTAAGCAAGCAATTCGTTAGCAATAACCAAAGTCACAACACACCAAAAGGACAAAGTCTATACAAAACTTTCTCCCTCAAACGACCTGGAGGGGGACACACACGCAAATTTCACCTCATTAATAGCAACAGGCTAAAACTTTTATTTGTTTAAACTAAATTGCTGTGAAGCTGTACCTCAAACTGAAACATCTGACCAGAAAATTCAGTAAAAAACACTATGACAGTAAAGTATGAGAGTGTACACGTAACAAATTTCATCATTTGCATTAGTATTTGGGATCAAAAGACTAACAGAAATGGGCCTCAAATTCATAAAAAGTTTGGGAACTACTAACCAAGAAGTGATGCCTAGATGTTTGAGATCAATCCAGTGCCAACTCTGCCACGATGCCCCACATTCCTCACGATAAACATCCCTTTTACAAGGCTCCTCCAGAACGGCTGCTACTCCTACCTTCCAGTATCTGCTTTTCCTAACGCTACTACTACCCCTCTTGGGAGGGGGCGGGGGAGGGTGAGATCACTATTTTAATTCAGTTTTATCTTAATACATGTACAGAATTGATTACACTGAAAAAATAAAATATGTGCTTCTACTGAATGCACTTTTTCTTTCATAGGAAAGAACGAGAAGAAATTTAAAAGAATCAATGTCATTTTATTAAATTCGATCCATCTAGTTTCCTGTTTCAGGAATTCAAAATACCTACTTGTGGATCACAGGCAAAGTAATTTAAGACTGAAAAGGCCTCTTGGAATGTAACATTTTTCTTTGCTTTTGTACCTTCTATGCTGACAACAGGCTACCATTATTTTAAAGTCAGATCTCCTTGTACCCCTTCATATACAAAATTCAAAACAGCTGCAACGCAAGAGAGAGAAAGTCAAAAGATATCTCATTTTTCATTTAAAAATAAAGTTATCAGCCTGGAGAAAAAAATGAGGCATCACAGAAGATCATGTGGGAACGAGAGCAACTTTATCTACTGGTGCAAGTGACAGTAAGTTTCGAAAGACAACAGCTCAAGGGTGAAAGTTTAAATTTAAGCAGCAAAAGGTCTTCAAACTCTCCATCTGGGAGCCAAGTGAACTGTTTTGTTTAAGCCTGAGTGCTTTACTTTGCCAAATATATCCACTGACATCCTTGTGAAAATGTTAAGAGACCAGGGATGATGGGAACGTAACAACACCACGTAAAAAAAAAATCAGGGAATCATGCTACATCCAGAGTGTGTGTCTGCACGTGCGTCTCATCCTGTTAAGAAACTTTTATGTTCAGTTTTTGAAAAACCCAAGTGAACAGAACTAACTTTGCTCAGTTGAAAATGGGATACTTCACCGTATTATACAATGGCCTTCCATCAGGTAGGATATTTGTGAATCATGCTTTGGTATCATGTTCTTTGGAACACTGGTTGCATTCAAGTACAACAAAACACACAGCAACACAGAATTCAGGTCAATTTTTACCTGTATTGAAATTAATTCCACCGTGAATTTCTATGACTCAGTCTTGGCATGTTATCAACCCGAAATCAACACACACTCATATTCTATGCAAGTCACCTACATTTTCTTCAACTTTTTTGTATTTTAAGTCAACATCCTAGGCTAATTCATAGTCCCTAATTTCTCGCATTAAGTGTTAATCATTAAACCCGTTTCAGATAATAGTCTCAAGTCCACAAGAAGTGATCTTCTAAACTTCAGCCAGCTCTCCACTTGTTCTTCTATCTGATATATTAGCACAAAACAAGTATCTGATGGCATTCTTCCTGTTTTCCTGGCACCTGGAAACTGCATCAGAGATCAGAATTCCTGAACTGGTAAGA